TTGTTTTTTTTTAATTTTTTATGTTCTTAAATTTAAATTTTGTAGAAATTTTTAAAGTTGCTCCTGAAGTTGGTCAAAAACCTGTGTATTAAAATACGTATTGTATTTTCAAAAATGGCCTGGAGAGAATTCTCTATTGTTATTATTTTTTCAACCACCTGTGTTTATGCTGTGTAGAAAGTTTTTGATCAAAATTAATTTTTTTACAAATTTTTAATCTTTTATTACATCTTTTGTATACATGTACTTATAATCCAGTTTTAATATTATTCTTTTTAATGTAATTCTCATGTCTGATGGTAATAATAGATATCAATGAATGTGACCAAAACAATGGGAACTGTAATCAGAACTGTGTCAATGAAGTTGGATCATATCACTGCGAATGTAACTCTGGCTACCAACTAGATCAGGCTGGATATAGCTGTAATGGTAAGTCATACTAATCAATACACTCTTAACTATTTCCTGTACAAAAGATATCAATGAATGTGCTGCTAATACTGATGGATGTGTTCAGAACTGTTATAATTTGATTGGATCATTTTATTGTGGCTGCAACTTGGGATATGTACTAGATACAACTAATAATAAGACATGCTATGGTACATACTCATTATTATATTTGGTAATGACATTATTCATATTAACACAGATATAAACGAGTGTCTAAATTATAATGGGGCTTGCAGTCACACTTGTACTAATACTAATGGTAGCTACACTTGTTCTTGTAACTCAGGGTTTAAACTAGAAAATGATGGACATAATTGTACAGGTATATAATGATTTTTTATGTGGATTATGTTTCAATTTGTTGTAAGACATTGATGAATGTGCTTTGGGCACTAGTGGATGCAGTGGCCCTTGCATCAATACACCAGGGAGCTTCCAGTGTCGATGCATAGATGGATTCTATTTAGATAATAAACAATGTCATGGTATATTGAATTATGTATGCATACTTAAACTATCAGATAATCAGATATTAATGAATGCAGTACTGGCAATGGAGGCTGTGAACAGTTGTGTACCAATACTAATGGAAGCTTTTACTGTTCTTGTGGTAGAGGATATAACTTGACAAACAATGCATTCTGTACAGGTAGCTTGGTCTGGTATTATTATAATTTCTAGGATAATTTATTATAGATATTGATGAGTGTTCTACTGCTACCCACAATTGTAGTGACGTTCAGAAGTGTGTCAATGACATTGGATCTTTCCATTGTGATTGTTTGTCAAGTGACAAACTTCCACCAGATTGCCGCACAAGTAAGTCCTAGATAAA